CTTTCAAATGCCCCTTGCAACTTGTAAAAGCACCCCTCGGTACAAACACCCATAGCTGGTGATCACTGGTGGATGAGACGCAGCTTCAGGAAACTCGCTGGTGGCTGTAAAGCTTCTAGTTTTATTATCATGTGTAACGGGACTCCCCCTCAGAGCTTATCTGTAGGTTGCTGATAAAAGGAGCAATAATAAACTGGATCACGGCAACAGATACAAAGCACGACCTTTACTTTTTCCACACTTCTGTCGTCTTGAGTTTTCTATCACAGTGGAATTCAAAACAAAAATGTGAAAATATACAATCCATGATGAAAATGCACAATAAACCCCATCCCCTGGTCTCTGCTCTGGTATCTTCAGTGCATGATGTCATCTCTTTCAGCAGCTGATTTCTCCTGCCACCCAGTGGCCACAGGAGGCATCTTCAGGGTTTGGGAACAAAGCCGAGCCGCCTGAGCCGAAGACGACACTCGGCACAGATAATGACAGGAAGATGAATGTCAGGGACAGCCACATGAAATAAAAATCTGAACCTGAGGCAGGCCAGATTACAGGTTTTAAGCAAAAATGAGTGTTCATTATGAGCAGTGGAATTTCATCAAGCGCAACCTTTCCACAGCCACAGGGTGGCGCCACATTCATCAGCGTGGTGTGTGTTTGGTCAGGAACATAGATACAACAACCATGGACTGTTTTATCTGTACAGGAGTGGTGAGCATGGAAAGGATCGGTTTGAATAAAAAATATGTGAATATAAAGTGTGAATAGTTTTGGTTTAACGTCTGCCTCCACGTACAACAGAAGTCAGTGCATTTTGTATTCACAGCAATGTTAGATGGACAAGATGGACAAGATTTTAAAAATCAGCAGATCAACACATTGTTATGTTTTGACATCAGGTGTTTCTTCAGCAGAAAGCCGTCCCAGTGCCTTCTGTGGATTGTTCATATGCTGGAAATGTACATATGAATGGATAAGATGCAGTTTACTTCATAGCAGCTACAGCAGGGGTGTCAAACTCTGGTCCTCGAGGGTCACAATCCTGCATGTTTTAAATGTTTCCCTTCTTCCAACACACCTGATTCAAATGATGATCTCATCATCAAGCTCTGCAGAAGCCTGATAACGATCCTGATCATTTGAATCAGGTGTGTTGGAAGAAGGAAACATCTAAAACATGCAGGTTTGTGACCCCCTAGGACCAGGATTCGACACCACTGAGCTACAGCGTTTTGCTTTTAGAAACTTAAGCACTTTATGAGTTGGATTGTAACACAAATGAGTAACGAGCCTTCATGTGGTGAAAATGTGTTCTTCAGGTTGGCTGTCTGCTACTTTCTGCACTTTCCTCATTTGTAGCTTTCTGAGTTTCTGTTTCTTCACTTGAAGAAGGAAAATGTGAAAATATTTCCAAGTGGCTGCAGGCATGGGCAGAGCCTGATGAACCTCCTGTGGGAACCTCTGCTGAACTCCACCACACCTGGCATTTTCATCATGTCATCCAGAAACCAGACAAGCAGTCCGGCACTGAAACGATTAGACAACAAGCCACTTTGTTGACTGACAGATAATTAATAACGTGCATTGTTTTTTCTAACTCTTAATTTGTTTTAGAAAAATCTTGAAAAATTCCCAGATGGTGTTCTCCAGTTCTCTCGCAGTTGGTAACATTGTTGCCTCGCAGCAAGAAGGTCGCTGGGTCGCGTCCCAGTGAGGACAACCGGAATCTTTCTGTGTGGAGTTTGCATGTTCTCCCCGTGCAGCGTGGGTTCTCTCCGGGTTCTCCGGCTTCCTCCCACACAGTCCAAAAACATGTTGAGGTTAATTGGTGATTCTAAATTGTCCGTAGGTGTGAATGTGAGTGTGCTTGGTTGTCTGTCTCTAAGTGTAGCCCTGTGATAGACTGGTGACCTGTCCAGGGTGTCCCCTGCCTTCACCCTAAGTCAGCTGGGATAGACTCCAGCCCCCCCATGACCCTAGTGAGGATTAAGCGGTGTATAGATAATGGATGGATGGATGTTCTCCAGCTTTCACTGGAAAAAAAGAGAGACTTAGAATGAAGTCAAAAACCACACGCGTACCACAGTTTTAATATAAATCTGTAAAAATGAGAAGTTTAATGGTAAACATGAAAATGACAGTGATTGTATCATTTAGAAAAGCAACAACACAAAAATACATGTATCTGTTTATGAAAAAAAAACAAAAAAACAAACTGCACCGTAGCTACCATGTCTGTGAAACAGGTTTCCACCGGATATCAAATCATTTGTCAGTGCACTCCAAATGTCTTGATCTGAAACTTCTTTTCCTAAAGATCTTAGAAAAGGAGCTGATCGTAACCCTGCTTCTTTTAACACAAGGACAACAACAACAACAAAAATCAGACAAATAATAATAATAATATTAATAATAAACAATAATAATAATAATCATAATAATAATAATCATAATCACAGCCTTTAAGAATGACATTTCAAACCACAATGTTGACATAAAATTGCACTTCAAAATACTGGTCGGGGTGAATAAATATTTGTGGTACCTTTCTATATCCATTTTGGTAATACAGTACATTAACACAGCAATAGTATATTAGAGCTGTCGACGGGGTTAATAGGGAAACTGATTAAAACTTTGTCTATTTTCATTCCAGCTGCTTTTGCATATAGTACAGAATTTGCATAATAGCACATAAATAAATAAACACCAATGACATCAAACAAGAGGGTAAAAAAGATTTACAAAACATACTGCATATCTAACATAGTGTCTATATATATTATTCATATAATTACATAACAGCGTCATTCAGAAGCGGTGCTCAAGTGCTCTTGCCTTTTTGTCGTCGGACTCTGAACCAGGGTGCGGGCGTGAGGTTCTCACCCACCGACTGGTCCTCAGTCTTTTTGCACTGTCCCTTCAGACTCCGCCTCCGATCAGAGCTGTGTCTGGGAGGACGGAGCCTTTTTTTGGCCTTGGGTGGTCTCGGGGTAAACTCGCCTCTCTGTCACAGGTGCGTCTGTGCTCACCTCCGGATGTCTCGTCTCTGTCCCGGGACCAGGCGGTTGCTGGAGGCCAAAGCATCCTTGGTTCTTTCTGTGTAGCCGGGTGCCCACGGGCATTTGTCCCGATGCCCCGGGGGCCGGCGGGCTGGCTCGGCTGCTGGGCGGCGTCTCTTTGAGAGCGTCCCGGCGCTGCGGCAGGGCGAGCCGTCCCCTCGGAGCGTCGCCGGGCCTCCTGGATGACCCCGTCCCTGCGGGGCTCGCTGTGGCGACTGCGGGGCTGCTCACCAGGCTGTACATGGGGAGCGGGGACCTGGGCTGGATCATGTGAATCCCCCCGATCGGAATCAGGAGGCTCGGGGTCCTGCTCGGCTGCTGCGAGTGCAGAGGGAGGTGGCTGAGGAGGTTGTGGGCTCCGCGAGGCCGTGGAGGGTGCGGGGTGATGTGGGTTAGACAGACCTCTTCTACAGACTGCAACAACAAGATGAAAAGAAATATGAACGGTTCTTCTGGGGCAAACTTAGGTCACACACTAACAGGAGGAAGTTCAGAAAAGACAGTCAGATTTTAATGACCAGAGCTGTTGATGTTGGAGATCAACAGCAATGACTCAGCGATTATTTAGCTTTGATGCTGAGAAACCTTTTCAAAGCCAAGTTCTGGTGAGGCGCTTTGAGTTAGTGACCACCAGGAAAGATATTTCTTCTCCACTGCTCTTACAAAAACACACATTAACCAGGTAGTAATAACATCAAGAACATTTAGTATGCTGATGTGTTAATCTTTCACTAGATGTCTTCCTCTGTCTGATTGGCTCGTAGCTGCCTTGCTGTACAACTAGAAAACCACTTTGAAAGCTGTGAGTGGCAGTCCACACCAACTACAATCACTGTTTGGTGTCTTTGTCGCCAGAACCTGCAGCAATTTGTTATTTTAACATTATATTGTTCCTTTGGGAGCACTGAAAAATCAATTACAGACATGTCTGAACTATACATTGTGTACGAAAGACAGCCGACGCAAAAGTGCCTCAAACCTGTATTCTTTCTTAGCCAGCTGAGGGAGACTCACAAAAAGAAGCTTGGCTGTAAAGAAGTCTAACAAAACAAGACAACTTATCTCTTGATTTATTGCCTCAGTAAACATTTTCCTGGCAATTTTATGGTCTCAGTTGCAAATTTCAAGACTTTTGAGCAGCAACATGATGTTCATTTTAGAAGATTATGGCTCCATTTAGAGTTAAAAAGACTATAAAGCAGGGTATGATGCTACCGTATCACTGTGCACAGTGTCAACACTCAGATCCACCGTTTGCTTCCTACGTCCAGTTTTGACAGACCAAGATGGTGAGGACCAAACTCCGGTAATGTTCTAAACAAAGGAATATAGGGTTCCTGAAAAAGGTTCTGGTTCAAGGCAAGTCTAAACAAGCTCATCACTGCTCTCTGGTGGACAAATCATGTAATGGCATGTAACATATTTTTGGTGGTTAGCACCGTCGCCTCGCAGCAAGAAGGTCGCTGATTTGTGTCCCGGTGAGGACACTCGGGATCCTTCTGCATGGAGTTTGCATGTTCTCCCCGTGCAGTGTGGGTTCTCTCCGGGTTCTCCGGCTTCCTCCCACACAGTCCAAAAACACGTGGAGGTTAATTGGTGATTCTAAATTATCCGTAGGTGTGAATGTGAGTGTGCTTGGTTGTCTGTCTCTAAGTGTAGCCCTGTGATAGACTGGTGTATAGATAATGGATGGATGGATGGATGGATGTACAACGATATCAAGCTACTGATAGCAAAGCATTTACAAAGAAACTGGCACATTAATACTAAGCTAACGTGGGCCGATACCAGCCTGCTTGGTTTATTTATTCAACATTACAACAGTCTGTAAATTACATGTTTGTAATAAATGTGAATTACCTGCAAAATATTAGTGAAGCTGAATACAATTACTACAAGAAGACATGTGCTTTAAGGTAATACATAACAAAGAAAAACATGATACTTTTTTAACATAAACTTCAGTGTTTTTTTGTTTTTTTTTAAAGTCACGTTCAAAGTAATTCAAACTGTGAACTGTTCGCACAAATTGTTCAAACTGATTCATAAGTAAGACATTTATTATTTCATATGGTACCAGACTTTTCTTTTTTCACCTACAGAACCCAAATTATTCCCACACACTGCTTCTCCCCTGTGATTGTATGATTTGTACAGTTTTGTTTGCTAATGTCCTTAATTCATGTGTTTGGGTTGTTCTTAAAATCTGCTGGACCACAACACAAACTACTTCAAACGCTCTGACTAGAAGTGCTGAATATTAACAGGTCATCAGAGCTGGAGTATCTGTTTTTTTCCCCCATGTGACAGCCTCTCATTGAGCTGTATGAGCATGTATGCATCAAATATTTAAGCAAATGAAAACACTAAATATGCAGAGTTTACGGATGCAGCTAACATGTGACCACACAGATGTGAAAAACAGCCTCATAGAGAATGTGAATAAGTACGAACTCCTATGAGACCTATATTAGTGAGAGGAGGAAGTGGTGAGGTTACACCATAACACAGCCGCAAGTCTGGAGTAGACATGTTGTTTTTTTTTTTTTCTTCCAATTTTATTAGGGAGAACTGAGATATTCACCCATGTTGTTTTCGCCGTTGACATGTGGTTCCAATCTTCGGTATTTAACGATCGGCCTGCTTCTCGTTTTATCAGCGGCTGCCCAGGGAAAACATGTTGTGTCTATTTGGGAGCTCTCCTGCATTATTTTAAGGTCGGGAGCTGCAGGCTTGGTTTGACTGATATAAAACAAGAGAGTTGCCTCTCTTTCCTTTTCCAATAAATGTGCAGCTTTAAAATAACCTCGTATGTACCAGCCTATCTATATTTGTTCTAGATGTTGACTTACTGGGATTTAACCGAGCCACACAAGATTGGCTTTGTGCGCCAAAAGCTGATTTATTTAAAACTGTAGGCTGAACTAACAGAGTTGGATCAAGTCACAGGTGAGCGACGACTGTGGTTTGAACAAAAGCCATGTTTTAACCAGCAGTAATTATACACTCGGCAAAAACAGCTACGTTCTGAAAGTACAAGAAACAAACAATGGTGGGGTTAGATTATATGAAGAGGGCTAATTGCAGTGATGCGAATAAATGCTACATCCTTGTGTTGGTTTTTTCTGGAGCAACGGCTGAAGTGACTCACCAGTCTTGCTGCAGATGTTTGGTCCCTTGGATGAAGACTCTGAGCAGAGGTGTCTGCCAGGGAGCCTGGAGGCCCAGAGGAGTCCGTTCCCTGGCACTGGAGTATTACGGGAGAGAGGCCTCTAACTGGGGAGACTGGTCTTTGGGGGGCGGCGGAGACGTGACAACTGGATGGGGAGAGGGATGAAGCGGTAGGGGCGGGGGAGTGGCGAGGCCTGGGCGATGGGCTACGAGGTGGCGACGGCTCCCTTTGTGGAGTCAGGGATTGAGTACTCGGCGAACGGGAGCCTCCGGAGGATGCCGAAGCGTCGAGGCGTCTGTGGGCGAACAGGGCCCTCCTGGCGCTGGCCGAGCCCCTCTGGGTAGAATCCTTGGGGGCGAGTGGGAGGGATGGGCTGCGTTCGGGCTCCACGGGCCGGCCTCCCGGATGAGCTTTCTCCCTGTCAGCGTGAGAGCTCTCGGCCACTGTGGACCGGCTGCTTTCTTTATGTCTGCCATCCTTGTCCTTTACGTCGCTGTGATCTCCAACGTGATGATGTCTTTGTAGGTCTGGATGAATGGATCGGTCTTCACAGACTCCTAGGACAGAAAAAAAATATCTTATTAGCACATGTTGGGTTTTTTTTACACCTCTTCGATCACTTAAAGATGCAGCAACTAATGCTGACTGTCTGATGACACCAGCGCATGAGAAGGTCTGTGTTGTATGAAACAATTAGTGAACTGTGGGTTCTTGTCGTCGAATGTGGCACAAATAGGCAGGTTAAAGATCTGAGTGAGTTTGACAAGGGACAAATGGTTATCAATCACTTCATTTGATACACAACAACGACATACCTACTCTTGCCACTTGTCGAACCATGTAAACATTATGATGCCACAAAAATGTGGAAGTAAAAAAAGCAAACAAACAACAAATAAACAAACAAATAAACAGAAACACAACAAACAAAAAAAAAGAATCCAAATCAAACTGCATGCTAGCTAATTACTGTTAACTGTTTAGTAAATATTACCTGAAGCTATTTTACCTATTTTCTCTTCTCTTTTATTATTTTAAGTATTTTAGTGCTCCAGCATCTCAACAGTTTAGTCTCTTGTATCACACAACTAATGCAGCAACTGAATGTTATCATAATGAACAAAATATAATTAGTTTAGCAAAGTAGCAAGAACTGCTACCTCTGCAGCCCTGACTTAAGTTATTTTTAATTTCACTACCTTCGCATTATATATTTAAACTGATTTCACTAAAGACAACTGCTTCAACTGGTTGGTTAATTCAAATGAGGAAGAATATCGTAACAATGGTATTTTGTTTGGAGATCCCTGCACCTTTAATTTGAAACCCACAGAGCAGTCTTTTTAGGCTGTGTGCAAACTCAGTGGTAATAATTACTCAACAGCCTGGAACAGGCTTTATATATATATATGACTTAAATATCTGTTACATAGTTCAGCTAAGAGCCTTCAAACTTGAAAGCCTTTTTCCTCAACTTTACTGTTTCTGTAATTGGTGCTCTCTGCCTTTGTAGGGCAGATACGGTTACAGATATCAGGTTAAAAATACAATCGCTGGTGCAAAGTTAGCTTCTAATTAGATTACAGCTACTTTACTGTGTTGTGCAGAAGCAGCAGCTCAATATGAGTTTTGATGCTCAACTTATCAGCATGATGACGCATGCCATTAAGTAAATTTGATTATTTTTTTAAATTAGAAATTATCACCAAAGCAATGATTTTTGTGTTGTTGATCTAAAAACTAATTCATCAACATGATTTTAAACTTTTCTCTTAAATAGGAAATATGCAACACAAACGGTATTAACCACTGAATTTGGAATAATTTGCTTTTCTACACAATATAAATATAAATATAATAATAGGTGATTGAAAAACAGATCTGTGTGCAACTGACTCAGTCTTCAAAGTGATTCTGTGTTTCGGATGGTGAAATATATTAGCACATGTTCTGAGCAGCCACAATAAGGCATCGTGATGATATCACACTGTTGCAAACACAACACAAACACATTCTGATCAGTCACCATAACAATGAGAATGATGCAGGAGAAAGCCTCTCATGCTGTGCCAGATCTGTCACTACTTCATATTCATATTAAACAGGCCAGGTGTAGGTGCAAGGTGATGCAAGGAGCAGATGTCGTTTCACACAGTGTGACACACGACCGCATTTCTGGTGTAGATATAAAGTGAAACGCATATAATTGTCAGGTAGCTCAGTTATAAAGTCTGAGGTGAAACACAACATGTCTTGTCTCAGTGCTTAGAAATAAGCAGTTACTAGTCGTGTATAGCAAGACTATCTCCACAGCGCTGTGTTAGTGCTGGAGAACACAAAGATATGAACCCAAAAGCTAATGCGTTATAAAGGTAAGGTGGCTTCCCAATGTGGTCACACGTGTGCAGGCTTGGACATGAGCTGTGGCAAGTCGCTGCAGCAAACTGTTGTTAAATGGCACATGCATGAGTTATATTGGGTAGAATTTAGAGTTCAGCTCAATAAGAGCCATTGAGTAGAGACAGCTATATATATATATTCAACAAGTCTGAGTTACACAACAGGGTGAACTAGAATGGTACGTATCCACAGGATTGATGCTTCCCATTTATTGTCAATGTAAGCAGCCGGACAATGCATTCTGGTGACATCACGATGCATTTCAAGAGGCTTAATTTCACTCCTCATCTGCATAAAGTTGATGTCTTGGCTACTTTATGCAAATTAAGGGTGTCCAGCCATCATTGGACGCCTCTGGAAACTCGAGACAATCTTCTAAACTAACTGTTAGCTGGATCTAAAACAAAGGCAGATTCAATATCTTCATGGCCTTCTCTTCACATTTTAGTGAACTGCTTTCGTAATAAAAGCAAAAGTTTCCAAATGAGTCGCCATGTTTGAAATCAAGAAGCAGAGAGCTGACAAGTAAAGCATCTTTTGTCAATCATCTATTGTGACGCTGCCCATTCCCACGCCTATCAAGCATCCCGTGTTGAGAAGTGACGCATCCTCTTGTGTCCAAAAACATCCCTGTGGACACGTACCATGAGGCGGTCAACACACCAGACTAGTTACATTGTTATATTCATAAATAGCTGATTTTATTAAAAAGTTGTAGATATATAACAACATGGCAATTTCTACCTCCAACCTTTATCATAACATGAATAAAGACAGTGGATACTGTCGTAAACTGATGTGGCAGAATTAGAACTCAAAAAATGAGAGCACAGGACTTTAAATTGCCAAAGCAGCTGTATAGAAAATAAAAACTTGCAGTTTAATGTTAGTAAGCTAAGATTTATGTGTGCTTTTAATGTGGATGTCCTGAGCTTGAGTCGGTACCAGGGCCAATCACAGCACCTTTTCACTGAGAAGGTATAGCTCTTTACTAAGCCCTATCTTTTGTTTACATCTGCTGTCACACATGTAATAGAACGGGAAAGCAGAACTTGCATCGCGGCACATTACTTAGAACACACCAGCTGTGGCCGAAGGACATGAAGTGTCACAGAGGTCTCTGTCACGGTGTTTGTTGTACCTCCTCGGGGCACGACAGTGTCAGGACCAATCTATGAAATCTACGTTTGCATATGCGTTGGCATCCACACGGGTCTGTGTGGTGTAAATTTTATCATCCACCCAAGTCTGAGGATCCATGAGTATTTGCGTGGACTGTCCGCACGCAGCCAAAAGTCTGTAACTGCAATGACTGTCTACGCCTACTGTGTATGTGCTAGAAAAAGCTTGGAGCTTGTGAAGCAACCAGGATGCAAGTCTTTCTGAATTTGTCTAGCATATACAATGGACTAATCTTATTAACTTTAACACTTATGTTTTTATTATCTACATAGAAGTAGTTTATGTAGAATGTAGTACTGGTACTGTAATGAACGACTTAAGCAAACAACACTATATACCTTCACGTGTGTCCTCTGGGTAACTACAGGTTTCTTTTCCGTGTACCTTAGACCTCAGGTGTTCAGTGAGGCTCCCGGGAAACATGAAAGAGGAGCTCATAGTGGATGCACAGTGGATGCACAAATTAGGGAAAAAAAACAACAAAACAATGCTTCACCGTCTATTCTTACCTTTAGCTTTGAAAGTGCTGCTACAGCGATTACAGTTATACGGCGGTGATTCTGTGGAGAGCGCACCGGTACTCTTGCAGAGGAATCCAGCGTCCTCGTTTTGACACTTCCGTCCACCTCCACTGTGCATTACGCCATACTTCTTTTCTGATCTGTAGGTGTGAAAAAGAGCAAGAGGTTTCAGTTTTGGTCCTCAGAGCATTTCCCTGTCGGTTGTCTATTGATGCTGCTCCTCTCAGAATAATAGTAGCAATCAATATGAGTGTAACCGGAGCTGACAGACGAGCTGTGGGCCCTTCAGCACCTGTAAGCAGCTTTTTAGTGCCTGTATTTATCCAGTGTAAGTGTGCTATCTGTTTGGCCTTTACTACACAGGGAGCTCACACTGTGGCAGCTGGGCCCAGGGTCCACCCCTTCATGTACACTGAGGGTCCCTCAGCGAGGCACCCACTTGAGCTTCAACAGAGCAGCTTTCATAAGCCAAAACCAGACCCCCTCCCCTTCCTCCTGCCCCGACCCCCACCCGCCCACTGCCTTAAAACCCCTTCACAGCTCACACCACCGCCGAGTCCAAACAAGAGGGAGTCTACGATGCAGCTCAAGGTCCGGGGGTTTTCTGCAGGCAGCCAATAAAAACACGCCGGAGAGGGAGGGAAACCCTGGCCCAGACCAGCTGCTGCTCCAAATAAGCATGAAAAAACACCGAAAATGAAAACACATTCCTACGACAAACAATGGTTCTGGTTATAATCGGCTGTTTTTTCTTCTATTTTCACTACGGGCTGCGCGGCTGGATAAACTCGGCAGGTATCATAAATGGTTGCTTTTACGGTCTCGAAAACTTTTAAGTTAATGAAAGAGAAACACTTTGCCTTCATGCCTGTACACTAAACTCCTACACTGTAAGGCAGATATATACATAGGCTTTTCATACTACACCCATTCACACCCAAGATATGAGTCTTGTTGCTCTTGGCTGTCCACTGGCCAGTTGGGAAAAAAAAAAATGGCAACATTCGATTACCTTGCTGCCTCCGTTTTGTCTTTTTTGTGCCTCAGACAGACTTAACAGACGCCGAAAGGAGAGAGCGAGCGGGCGTGAGGATGACTCACTCTTTGAGGAAGGCTGCGATGAGCGTCAACATGAGTCACAACAGGGATTTGTTCACAGACACACTCGCAAACCAAAAAAGAGACACACAGATGGCACCTCTCTGCACTCCCCTGTGTCGCATCGCTGCAGTGTTTATTTCTGATAGGTATCAAAACTACCGAGCGCGTGTGTGTGGTTTAACCTCGCTGCAAACTGATCTGAGAAGATGTGTGCTTTAATTAAGGTAAAAAAAAAAAAAAAAAAAAAAAAAAAAAACACAACTGTGGCCACCAAGTTCACTCCTTACATGCTTTCATAGAGTACCTTTGAGGTATTGCTCCTCTTGTTATCTCGGATTCAACGGCTCCTGCTGAATGTGAACAGAGCTCGTCCTCCATTGAGCCCATTGTCATCGACACCAGGACTCTGTGTTGTTATGCTTATGCCACCGCCACTTATTGAAGGATGACAAGTTGGGGCTGTGTTCAAATCATGGTTTCTTTTTCAGCTCATTTTTTTTTGTGATTTTTAATATCTGGTAAGACAGCATTAAGCAGAAGTATTGTTGCTATGGTTACTCCCATATTTAATTTACCATTTCATATACTGAATTGCACACTGATGTAGGAAAGTGTTTAAACTGAAGGTTAGATGCTTGTTTGAGATGTCCTTTGATACGAATTTAACCCAACACCCAGTCGGAAGATTTTCCTGCCATTTATAGTTCAACACCTGTCAGGTAGATGGTGTCGATCCGACATCCAGCCAGAAGTTTGAGTTTATTACTAAAAATTACCTCCAGTAGCTTAATAACTCGAAATGCCGAACTAACCTCTGCTTGGCCTGACAGGATGAAAACTCAAGTGG